TATAATTTTTGATTATTTTGTTATTTTTATAATATAATTATTTTTTAGATATAATAATAATATAGATTTATTTTAAAAATTATAGAGGAAATTATTTAAATATTTTTTTTTTTATATATGGAAATTTATAATGATATTTTAGTATTTATTCGAAATAATTGGTTAATTTTTTAAAATAATTTTTGTTATTAAAATTTATTTATTAAATTAAATTAATTTATAAATAATAATTATAATAATATTTTTTTAAAAATAATTACGAAAAGAATTTTTGCAAAGGTTATATAGACGATATTTTAATAAAAATATTTATTAGGATTTCTTTAATATCGTTTTATTGTAGTACTTTCTAATTAAAAAAGGCATTTTTATTAGATATTTATAAAATATTTTAATATCAATTAAAATATATATATTCAAATTTCAAGCTATTAATTCGTACAATACCAAATAGTATAACAATAATCAATTTACTATAATTCCATACGATTAATCGGGAATTATATGAGTAGCGGACAAAAATATTTGTGTAGTGTAATTCTATTTAATATAATTATTGTTTTTGGGGAAATTCATATCGTTTTTCAATATTTCTCCAAACCGTAATTAGCATAAAATACAAATATAGGCCAAAATAATAAATATAACTCGCAACCTCAAAGTGCTTTCTGCACAGGAATAACACAACACTTAATTGAAGCACTTAAATTCTTGTGGCACCGAACTACGCAAAGATCACAACAAATAAACGAGGACCTAGTAGCTCGGACCAATACTAATAATAAAGAGAAATAAGTCTACGTTACGGAGCGCCTAACATAACATTTAAATTATCGTTTGTTTATCGTTTAGCAAATTGTCTAAGATTATTATTAATTAAACATTATATCCATCGGGTTAACTCAAATATATTTAAATTAATATACGAATACATTAACATCTTCTAATCATAAATATCTTTGTATTTATTGTATCTTAACATTTTTTTTTGTGGAAATCATATCATTTTCCACAAACCAAAACCCTCAACATAAATTTAAAATCATGCCATAACTAAAAAAATAAACCAATAATTTTGTCCGTCGTTCATATATATATATATATTTAATCAATCAATATAATATATATTATATTAAAAACACAAATCCATCGAATACTATAATATAAAAAAATCTTAAATTTTAAATCATAAATGCTATAAAACCAATTATATAATAAAATACAAAATACCTAAAAAATAATATAACAAAAACATATATTTTTACAAATTTCCTATCGATTTTCAAAATTCGCTTATCCATATAAAATATTTTCAATAAATTATTTAAATAAAAACAACTTATATATTTTAAAAACACGAATCCACATCAACGAATATAACTTAAATTTATGCAAAATTAAACCTAAATAAATCCAATTAAACTTTACATAATTCCTCATAACAAAACAAATTTTTAATTTTATATAATCCTTTATTTATTAATAATTAATATGAAATTTTTATCAAACATAAACATATAATCAACTAATTAATCGTTCTAAAATTCCATACACACAACCCCCCTTTAAACATAATCAAAGGAAAATTCATTCTTAAATTAGAATATCTATAAGTTCCACCGTTCGAAGGACGTCACAATCGAAATCTATTAAATACCATCGTAAACACGTTTTCTCGAGGCGATACGCCGGTCGAAATAAATGGAATTCAACAATATTTTATAACTAAGAACATGCGGTTTTTGAAACGATATTCTTTACGAACCTCTATATTTTATTTGTTTAGATTAAGAATGAATAAGTGTTATTTTTTTTGTGCGATGTTTTCGACAGCCGTTTTGCGCTCAACGTTTCCCGGTTCACGCCGACGAACCTATACGTGCCTCATGCTATTAGATCACATGTGAGGTTGGTGCGCGAGCCATCGCTCAAGATGGACCCTGAGAGGGCGCACTCAGAGTCGTGGTCGAGCAAACGGCTCTGTTTGGCTAGTCGGAAGTGACCTTAAACCGCAATATGCCCCGGTGCGGGAGAGAGTGAACTTGAGGGTTGAGCAACCTGAAGTTTTAGTTGTGAGATGTTGCGAGTGCTTCTGGAAGTGGGGGAAGACCCGCAGAGTCATCTGCAAGTGTTTCATCATGGGAGCACCCGAGTGACACTCCGAGTGACCTGATGAACGCTGACAACCTCATGCAGTTTCGGCGGGGCGCGCCTCTGACTCCGAACCCTGTGGCGGCAGGAAACAGGCAGCGTCCTTCGCTGAAACGGGCTTTGGAGATCGCAGAGTCCCCTGCCCTTGTTCATCGGGCCAGGATGGGGTATTAACAGTTGTCATATGCGGCTTGAAATAGAAACCAAGAGCTCGTTGTTCAAGGCCTGGATCGAAGTCTAGTAGTAACAAGAAGCTATAGATTAGAATTCTAATTAAATTCTTATTGTTACTAGTAGTAAGGCACTTGTTTCTAATAGCTTCTTGTTACTACTAGTAAGGCACCTGTTACTACTAGCGTGGCACTTGTTACTACCAAGAGCTCGTTGTTCAAGGCCTGGATCGAAATGTTGGAAACACACTCGATGGCCCCTCTCCCATTGAGCACAAAGAAGATGCAGCTGTTCTGTTCGGTGATGCGAGCAGCTGGGTTCAGAAGCACCTTCAGCTACATCCTAGAGGCGGCAGAGGCACGGCAAAGGCACTTGAAGGAAGGTTCTGCCTGGAACCCACAGCTCGATCTGTACCTGAAGGAGTGCAAACGTGTATGCACTTGTGGCTTCGGGCCCCCTAGATCCGAAGAGATCAAGATCGAGTGGCTCCAGGAACTCTTCGAACTTGAAGGAGGCGTGGTGATAGCAACCAAGCCCACGGCCCCACACAGGGGGCGCTCCTGTGGGCGTTTGGCTCGCATTTCCTCCTGCGAGAAGTCGAGTTGGCGTGTCTCATGCTGCATGAGTCGGTAATCAAGATCGATGAGACAAAACAATGACGGTTTGTCTTACCACCTCCAAGAATGACCCGTGTGGCCGCGGCGCGCGCAGAACTCTCGCTTGTTGCGGGTGCACGTGGCATGGCCTGTCCTTTTGACGTCACGGTAGAAGACTGAGAGGTCAGGGGTTTGCAGGCTGCGCACTCGACTCTATTGGTTGGACAACAAGGCTGATGTTGTAGAGGCAGCGCAGCTCGACGTAGCAAGGATCGTCCAGCGCGTGCAAGATGCGAGGGACCTTGATCCTCAGAGGGTCACCGGGCGCTTCATGAGGCACTCTGGCGCCAAAGCGTTAGCGACTACCGTCAAATCCAGAAGCTATTAGGAAGCTTCAAGAGGAAATTGATGCCATCAAAGAAGAAGTACGTCGAGAACCCATAATTGAAAGCATTGCCCATGCCGACAACGGGTCATCGAACCCTGTTTTGGAAAATGATGTGAGGATATTGTGGAACACCCTGAGGCCAAGATACGTCAAGAAAGATATGTCAAGAACATGGTATCAGGCACTGTCCACTTGACTCAAGGTTGCCTGTTTTGGCAAAATCCGTCTGACTGGACAACCAAGTGCGGATGGAAGTGGGCCCTGAATTCTAGGAACGTTCAATAGTGTCTGGAAAAGGACCTGCTAAGTATGTTTTGTGCTCCAAGTGTTTTGCGTAGAAGGGAGCTTTCAGTCAAATTCGTGTCAATGACTGTACACTATAGAGAGTAGCTAATTCTCAACCCAGCCTTGCAGTGGTGGAAGTGAAATAACAAAGCCTTTATGGGCACACTGGTCTGCGTCAATTACTATTTGCAGCATGTGAACCATCCCACGAGGGAAGTCTTGCGGGGAATGGTTTTCGTGTGGTTGTGAGCGGTGGTATGATGGGACGCAGAAGAAGACAAAAAAGAAAGAACTTAAATATCCTAGACGAGGCACGTACCAAGCAAAGGATGCCCGGGCACACCAGTATGCATTTCTCTTCCACCAACTCGTAAGCCAAAAAGTCCGCTTACTACTGATCTCTCTCACTACTAGGTTGGATGGGTGGGGGTTACTTTGCTAGTTGTTGTTATCTAAACAATATTTATATGCTTTTATATATATATATAGGCCATTTGATGTAGTTCTACAATCTATAGATATAGATATAAAAAATATAATTCTCATACATCATTAAAACATCAACGATATTTCATTATCTAGGAGCCTCCTTTGATGCTCTCGGTCCGGCTCTGCACCACAAAAGAAGGTAGCCTGCTTCAAGCGCTTTAATGTGTGAATGTGCTGGATCTGGCTGTAGTGAACTGAAAGTGCTTGGTAAACGCATAGGAAGGTTGAGCCACCAACTACCAGCAACATGAATCCGGCCAATACATTTGGAGCATTATTGAAGAGGGCAATCTGAACAGCAGAGTCTGTGATGAGCCAGAAAGACACGGCAAGGTAGGCAAGGACGACATTCTCATACCGGTCAAGGATGTTCTTCACATCATTGTGCAAGATAGAGTCCCTTGCCAGCTTCCAAACGTGCAAATGGCACGTTGTCATCTGATCCAGTTCTGGCCCACCATGCTAGAATTGCGTTCAAGATTTGCATAGGATGTGCGGCTTGTTGCAGGCCGGAGACAGTCTTGGCGACAGTGATCGCAAAAATACTCCCAAGCATTCCACAAATCGAGGCCTTGAGGACAGCGCAAAGACAGACTCCAACATAATTCCGATCCACACTCATCATCACACTGTGAGGAACCCACAATGTCGTGCGAGACATGAGCAACTATTTTGGTGCGTAGCACCAGGGACTGGGACTCGCGGTAGCATTAGTTTCCTGGCAACGAACTTGAACAAATGCCTCCGTGTCCACAATGTAGTAGACCCAGGCATATGAATCACCTTGTGGAGCCCAAAAGGAGAACAGGTAGAAGGCAAACATCCCCAGAAGGAGGCCTAAAACCACGTGTCCACGACATCCACCGCAAATCTGGCAGATCGAACATCGATGCTTGGGGGTTCTCTTCTTCTCATCTTTTTTATCCTTTTCGTCTCCGTTCCTTTCGGAGTCGCCAATGATTTCGGTCACTGATCTGCTGAATCCATGTCGATGGAAGCTGCCCAGCACACCACAGAAGCTGTACTCTTGAAGTATGTTCACCATTGTTCACCTCATCGTAACTTCGGTTCCACCGTCCCACTGCATCTTTGGCACTATCAAAGTGCTCTAAAGTCTCTTTCCATTCCTCATTCATCGGACATCCACTGGTGCGCAAACCAAGTTCTGCCCTGGCACGCACCAAAGCGTCGGGCCCACAAAGCTCAAGGTCTTTGACCTCTGACTTTTTGGTCGAAGAAATCTTTTCCAAACTCTCCTGGAATTCCATGGGCCGGAAAATATCAATCAAATTCTTCTCAAAAAAGTCGTCCAAGTCCAAGCAAGAGCTCTCAACTTGATCATTCTCAAGTCCCACCACAAAGGCCATCCCATAAAGTGGAGCCAGCATGAACTCGGCCAAGCTGGAGTTCTGGGCCAACTGACGCTTGCGAACCATGTCCATCTGTCTGCGAACCAAAGCCTTCAACTTCACAGCAGCTCCGGTGACGCGGTTCACAAACTTCGTTTTTGTTGGGATCTTCTCCTCCTGACAACTCGGGCCAGTTCTTGTTGAACATTTGATCGAGTTTTCAACAGATTGGACATCCGGCTACGATGTCGAATTCATGTGTAAACCTGTATTAGGAATCGTGTTCAACAAACTGTCGCTGTGAAGACAAGTCAAAGTTGCTCGAGCAACCCTGGTCCTTTCTGCGTTCTTCTTCCTCCTCAGAGATGTTTGTCTTGGGCCGCTCCTGTACCGTCAGCCACCGCAAAGCTTGGTGACAAGGCCAGAGCACCACCCAACACCATCCTCTTCGGCTGTTTTGATCCTCTCCTTCACCATCTCCCGTTCCGCTTGCCTCAAGATCCCAGGAGATTGTCCCTTGATCCATCAAGGCAGCTGAAAAGCACATGTAGGTCCCCAGGAGAGTCACTGTCCAGCTTGGTTCGAGCAACCCTCCTGGCTGGCAGTAGTCCTGGTGGCCACGCCAATCTCCGTAACGCAGGCAAGCATTGTGGATGTTGTCCCCTTCTGGTGTTGCAACGATCCGGGCACAAATCGAGTGCAGAAACGCAAAGGTCATCACTACAAACCAGGCTGTCAAATGCGCATCTGTGTATCCAGCTCGAGCACAATCTAATAAGTAGCGCGAGAGCTTCTTTTCTGCATCCGAGGAGTTGCAGAAGCGATCTGTTCGGATCACCCGACCTCTGCAAAAGCAAATGCTGCAGGTGATCAGAAAAAGGACATACCACGACAAACTCCAGTAGACAGGGCTCAGGCCTGCAATGGCAGGACAGAACTTCCTTCCTGTGAAAATATCCTCGCCGGGTTGCCCCACATGCACTTTCTTCCTCCTTTACCGTCTGGAATGGCCTCTGTCTCATGAACCAAGACGGCTGAGTCTGACAAGAATGCGAGCAACACACAGGGCAAGAAGATGATTGATCGAAGGTTCTTTTGAGCTTTGAAGCGCAAGGAGACAAAACTGTCACCAGGCAACTGATGATCCTCCAAACGAGCTATCGCATTGCCTGCCAGCCTTGGCCAAATTTGTGGGCCAAGCCGTGTCTGGAACAGGTTCTTCTATCCGGGTATCGTCCAATTGCCCTGGCAACATTAAGGCGACTACTTGATCTGAAGTACAAGAAAGAAACTTGAGCCTGTGGCAATGCATTCAAATATGTAGCTCTGCAGGTCAAGAAGCAGAAACAAATCAAATAACAACTTTGGACGTTGGGACCGTCCATCCTTGTTGGCAGGTTCTTTTTGTGTCTGGCAGCTCTGTCTCCAAATGCCGCTAGTCGTGTGCAGCAGCAAAGCTATTCCTTGTCTGTGCACGATAACCAAGGGCTGTTGAAGTTGGCAAGCTTTCATTGAACAAAAACAAAAAATGTGTCAGATTGGACACAGTTTGAACCTATCAATAAGACTTAAATAGAGATTGCACCAAACATGGATATATAATATATATAGATCTTCTTGAAGAAGCTAGTGTCTCGAATGTGTAATCTGACCACCTCTAGTGCAAGCGAGATTCTGTGGCTGAGCCACAAGCCCTAAACTGGACAACGCCTCTGAGTAGCTCCTGGCGGTGCCTTTTTGGCTGGTTTCGCGTCAAGCTCTTGGAGAGGAGCCTGAGTGCATTTTCTTGCAGCAGCGTACAAACAGTGGAAACGCTCGCCTGTTTGCTCATCTCCAGCGCAGCATGCCTGACGAGAACGCTGTCAGCATGTCTGATCAAAATCTAAGCTGAAACATGTCGGATCAATTCTGAATCGAAAGCTGTTTCACAAATTGCCCCTCCTTGCTGCTTGCTGGACAATCATTGCCCCACCTGCCGCGAGGCCACAACTTGATAGAGCAAGGCAAATGACGAAAAGAACAGTGATAGGATTTCTGCAGTGCCATGCAGTGGCCTCCTGCGACGACTGCGTACCTGTGCATGTGTGAGAGGATTGGGATGTATGACATCGACCTTCGATCGCTTCAATACATGGGTGTGGGTCAAAACCCGGGTCTCAGGTGAACATCGCGCACCTTCCTGTTCCATAGGGTATGGAACGGATCCCTTGTTCCATAAGGTATGGAACAGGTATGGAACGGGGGTATGGAACAAATTGTACCAAAAAACCTGACGTGTCATCTCAGTCCCGTTTCTCACGGTAAATGTATTTCAGCAAGCAAAGCGCACGTTTTGATTGAACCTCGAACAATTGCAAACTAGGAATCCATAGGTATGGAACGATGGGTATGGAACGGTGAACAAACATGCTGTACCACAGGTATGGAACGGGGTATGGAACGAGATGTTCAAGAGTACATGTTCCATACCAAAACGTTTTGACTCATGGCCACATCATACTTTGTGCAACCCAGCGGCAAGCTACACAAATATGTGCTAAGCAAAGACAATCCCGCCACCTGTTGCCAACCAAGTTGAAAGGTGGAATCAGTTGGATTGTGATTGCAGCAGCGAACCGACTGTACTTTGCAAATCACGAAGGGCTGACTGAAGTAGGTTCCGTTGAAGGCTCCCCCGGTCATCTCTCAATCGCAGGACCAATTCTGAGACGCATGCTGTGGCTAGCAAGAAAAAAGCCAAGCCGGAGAAGAAAGATGCACCGTAGGACCTTGAAGCCAATCACAAACTCCATTGGGTGCGTCCGTCTTCTTTTGCTCAAATGCTCTTGACTCTTGATCTTTGGCCTAAAGTCTAGCACGTCTATGTCGACGGGTACTGGGTGAACCAAGGATGCGACAGTATCAAGTAGTACATATTGTACAAGAAGAAGCCTTGGTGCTTCATTCGTGGCCTCTCCAATTCCCTTAGCATTGAATTGACGCTACTAGGAGCAAAGGGCATCGCTACTAGGAGCAAGGACGCTACTAGGGGCTCCTGGCCTTACTAGGAACAAGAAGATATTAAAAATAGTTCTTTTTTGTTGACCGCCTTGATGATTTATGATGTTCGGTTTAGAATGCCAATTTGAGCTCTCAGGAGCACACCAAAGGCACCAATCAGGCCCATGGTCAGATTAACCACCTCAAAACAGCAGCTTTCACGTTTGATAGTCACTCTGCTACTGCCTGTGGCTACCTGATAAACAACCTTAGCTGGGGTCCGGACATACTGCATGATGACACGGAAAATCATGATGTACAAAGACTCGTCACGAGCTCCAACGGAGAACAGAACCTGGGACACACACAAACACGCATCTTCCCTCTATCAGCCAAACATTGAAGCAGGGAGTCACTCAACCAAGCAACATCTATTATGAGATTGGAGCGATGGTTGGGTCAATCCAAGAGGCATTGTAGAAGGTCAATCTAGAGGCGAAATCCTTACCTGAGTTGTTTTGCAACACATTCATCAATAAAAGCAAACGACACCTGTGTCTGCAGCTTTGTTCCTGTTTCTTGATTCTAGATTGTACGAGAAATACAACTACACAGTGATGCGAGTGATGGGACAACTGGTACTCAAATTAGCTGTTATGTTCGTGAGTAGCCGCTTTCAGTCTGGCAAATATTTTTCCCACTGCTCAATATGATGCCTTTCCAAGTTGCCAGACTGCCATGCTTTCCAAAAGCTATTGCGAACATCCTGGCAAACTGCCAACTCTGAGCTGGACAAATGAACGTACTTTCTGATACTTCTGCAGCATACCAGCTCTGATTGAATCACAGGTAAATCGGTAAATTCAATGCAACTCACATCAACTTTCTATTAATGTTGAACAACTTGTTGCAATTGCCAACACTATGACTTCAAATTGTTCTTGTGCATCTATCAACCATGAGGTGTGCCATACTGACATCCCGCACCTGCACACCATAGGATGACCAAATGCCCACTTCGTGCCGACCCTCTGAAAGCACACGATCTCTGTGGTCTTGCACCTCACTGTTGGAACAAAATCCAAACATCCTTGAACAAACCATAGGCTCTGCTGAAGCATTGGGAACCCTGGTGGCAGTTGTCCAAAGGTATGGTGCGTCAAGGAACTCGTCTTACTTCGGCTCTGGCCATCTGCACCTGAACTGACAAATTGTTGGGCTTACCGTGCAACAACGTCCCACACTCCTTCCATCTCCAAAACCAATTCAAACTTGCCTGATGGCTTCTAACCATTTTCCCCGATCTTTCAGTTTATACATTAGCCTTTTTCAACTTGCTTTCGCACCAGCTGCCCGGGCCGCTGCTCTCATAGCAGCCTTGGCAGCACTTTGTGCTCGCATGGCCGCTCGCTGCAGGAAAGCAGAGCGCTCGAGGGCGCCAGCGCGGCGGTCACGGCGAAGGTCCTTGAGGCCGGCCTGGACATGTGCGGCAAACTGGTCCCTTGTTTTTGTCCCCAAAGGTCTAAAACGGTCCGACATGTGCCTTTTGTTCATCTTCTTTCTTTACAAAACATCAAGTCATGAGATTTTCACTGGAGCTATCATTGAGTTCTTCTATGACTTTCTGATGCATCGACAGAACATGCGCATGAAACACCCTCAGAAATTGGCCTCCTCTTTGTGCCGACTCCAGTCCAGTCCAGATTTATCCATTGTATTCAGCTCTTTGTCTCTGGAGATTCCCAATAGTTTGTCCAAAGCTGCTAAACCTCCACCAAGCTTTGCATTGCTACGACGCTTCTGCGTCCGAAGGTAGCGCTGTTCTTCGGCCGATCCAGGCACCAAGGCTCGTTCGATGGTCAGGGTCTGACCAGCGAAACGCACAGATTCTTGTACAACAGTAGCCCGCACCATCTTGCTTTCAACTGGTTCACCAGACACTGCCGACAGTTCTTCGCGTGAGAAGCGAATTTTCTTTTTCATTTCGGCGGCTGATGGATTTGGATCATTTGACACACCGTACTTGGAGACTTCTGCCAACATGGCTGCCTTGGTCACCCGAGAGCTTCCAGGAGTTGTGAGCCTACTGCAACTTCCCGCGCGCACCTTTTGCTTCCTCAAACAGGGAATGTTGTTAGAATATGCGTGAGTCAATTGTCCACACGGTCCAACAATGCGTGCCAATCAAGAGAATTCTCCTAATTAACTTCCAACACACTACACTCGACGTGTCAAGAAAACACATCATGTTGTTCACCTGGACCTGGCGCCACGAGCCTGCAACATCCTACAACTACAACATGTTAAAATATGTGAAAATGACTCTTTTCTGTTGTGCCAAGGCTTCATCTCCCTGGCTGAAGGCATTTCTTGTCCTTCGACTGCAACTTGACTGTAGTTGGCCAGCTGTGTTAAAATTTCATGTTGCTTTCGCTTTGGACTTTCCGTGGTGTCCCCCTTCTCCGTGACGTTTCTCCGCTGAAGGCTGCGAAACCTCGCTGGGATCTGAAGCATTCACATGCAGCGCTGGTATGTACCCGGGGAACAGCGCACCTCTTTTCACCACAATGCACTAGAATAATTGCAATCTCACCCGTCTCACTCTTTTAAGCCTCCAGCTGTCTACATGATTGAATCCACATTCCTCATTCGTCCCACTTCATTTGTTGACCTAAATGTCCATGTTGAACCATTTTGAGGAATCAAACTGACCAAACAAATCAGTTGATCTACTCCTTCACCATGCGTGCTTTTCTTGCGAATCAGTTGCAAGTCAGGAGTCCAAGACTGAACTATTCCTCTTAAGGTTGACCAAACTCGACTGGAACCTTGAGTCTATGCCCCTAAGCCACTTCGTCGAATTTTGTCGAGGGCCTTCGAACCGGTGAACGCCTTCGACTGATACGAAGCATTTGGCGGTGTCTGTTTGGCATGACAGCTGACTTGTGTTGACTTGGGGCAACTGATATAGTGCCTTAAGATAGCATTGTTCTCACATGTTCTCACGTCTCAACTGTTGTGGGTCAATATTCGCAAAGCAGCAGCTGGTCTGGGCAAGGTCTCTTCACCCATCGTTTCGCAGACTGCAGCTCCTCTTGCTGCATCTCTTTCCAAAGATCTTCCGTTCTTCGCTGCCTTTTGCGGTCATTCTTTGGCTTCACTGGAATCTCAGCTGTTTCTTTCGTGTCACCCTCCTGAGCTTCCGGTATCTCAAAATCCTCATCTTCATGATCAGAGTCTGGAAAACTGGCTGTGGCGATGGTCACCATGGCTGGAACCCACGCGTCTCTGGTAGTATCTGGCCCCGTTGATTCTTGTTTTGCAGCTTCTTCAGTGATGAAATTGCGGATTCTTTTTAAAACCGTCAAGACTCCTGTAGCTAAGCTTTCCAAACAAAAGTTGAGCAAGACAAAGCAATGGATATCGATGGACAGAAAGGCTTGGAGCTGATAACACCATGAAGCCGCCTTCTAACACCCGCCCCAAAGCAACAGTCATGCCTTGTCATAGGCTTTCTGGCAAGCATCGTCACAGCTGAAAAGGCCGCTCTTTGAATAATACGCAGATTCAGCCTTCCTCAAGCTGAAAGCACGTTGTTGCAAGCACTAGTTTTGCCGTATATAATATGTATCTTTTTGAGGCACGTGGCATATCAATCAGTCAGACATTTGTGCCAAGCATCTCAAGCTCTACTTCGGCTTGCTGACCCAACTCTCGACTGTCGATGACTTCTGCCTGTTGCAGCATCGTGGTGTACCTGATGGACCCAAATGCGGCGATTCGAAAACATTCTTCTGCCTCCCAGGCTCTCAATTTGTTTCACTGTGTCCAATTGGGTGCGGTTCTCTGAAAGCTCAACAAATTTGCTTTTGAAGGAGCTGGAGAGGAAGTGAAAGGCATACTGGCGTACTGCTTCCAGGTTGTAACTCTGTACTTGTGCCAAGCGGCGCTTCTTGTGATACAGGGTCTACCGGCAAACCTCCAGCGAAGGCAGCAATCAACAGCCCAAGAGCCCAAAAGGAGACCAAAACGGGGCGCTGCTCCACGACACCCTAGCAAAGTGGCCATGTGCAAAATGTGTTCGCTTGTAGAACAAAGTGGGACCGAACAGTGACATGTAATGAAAGCAACTCAAGTTGTCTACTAACTCAATTGCTTCCTTGCTTGCTTTATCACACACCTTGCTTATTCTTTCTTCAGCAATCTCACACACTCGCGTTTACATTAACTTTTTTTCTCATGCACTCACAGGCTCATGTACTTACACACTTACATGCCTTAGTTACTTGTTCATATATTCGCTTCGTTTGTTAGTTGGTTCGTTGGTTGGTTAGCTTGTTAATTTTGATTACTTGGTCAGTGATTTCATGTTATTTACTTATTCAGTTAGTTGGTTAGTTGGTTAGTGGGCTCGTTAGTTAGGTAGTTAGCTAGTTAGCTTAGTTAGCTACTTACTTGTGCATACTAAGGAGCTTCGCTTGCAATTTCGGAACAGCAAGTCAATACAAGTGACCCATCTTTTGTGCAATGACAGCCTTCACAGTTGCCACAGCGATAGCAGGCACATCCATATTGATCCACTTTTGAAGCACTTCCAATTTCTCCTCTCGACCTGCGACATGAATTCTCTTTTGTTACTTTTGTATACTTTTGTTGGTTTTCGTGGGTACTTTCAATTTCCGAGATCAAGACACGACGATCTGAATTATGGACTACTTCATATTCATTTCCTGGCTACAAAACCATTTCTTGTAGCTGAATCATGATCCAATTTGTTTCATGCTGGTTCTCAAGCAACACCAAAAGCGAATCCGAACCAAACACTGCTTTGATCCCAGCCACTGTAATTGTCAAATTCTTCCCACTGCTGAATCTCCAGTGGTCGGCTTTCTCGCGACATCTCGTTTTCGGATCTCGCGACATCTCGCTGCGACATCTCCTGGGAGCGAAGGCGAAGACATCGTGCAATGAGGTGAAACAAAAAGGATACAAAGGGAGTGACACGATGATGATGTCAGGCGATGAATCTCCTGACATCACCCATGGAGAGCCCTTGTTAAACAGAAAAACCTGAAGAAATCAGAAGAATATCATAAGCTGTTAATCATCTCCAAGACTCAGTGCCCTCCATGGCTTGAGCTGGAGGATTGTGGTTCTGCCACGCTTTGAACGCAATCCAAAACTATATTAATGGTGTTCTTGTGAGGTTTCACAGAAGAAGCTCTCCCTCAGCCTCCAAATCGGAAAATCCTTGTATAAGACTTTCTGATCTGCCCAGTGTCCAAGTCAAAACTTACAGAGTGCGACTTAATCGAGTCGCAAGCAAACATGTCTGGAGCCTTCAAGAAAGAAACATGCAGAGAAGATCAAAGAAGCACACATAGACCCTCACTCTGAACCAATGTCTATCGTCCTTGGCGTTCTCTAGCTCACTCCCAGAAGCACAGCAACTTTTTCTTCAAGAGCTCGAAGTATGAATCGTTCCCACTCAGTTCGGCTGAGCTCTTTGGAAGGTGGCGTTGCTGTTAAGACATATCCTGTGAAGAATCGCAACGAATATCCGAATAGACTGGCTTGTACAGCATCTCCTTGAGTCTTACATTATTAGTAATTAGTAGTACTGCACAGTCAACATCCGAGGATCCGGTTTAAGAATGAATCAATACGAGAACAGGCACCCCAAAATTGACCCCGATCCAACTTTCACCGGCCTTTGGCAGGTCTCTGCATTCACATTGTAGCGCTGCACCTCACAACGGATGCTGCCCCGACGATATGCAAATTATACGCAACGCAGGCACAACCCTACGCACTATGGGAGTTCAGACCTTGGGCTTACACTAATGACGAACGAAAGCCAGGCTAGCTAAGTCGACAATTTGGCAATGCTGGAACATCCCGGGCCGGGCAGTACTTGTTTTTGGTGGATGCTCTTGTTCATATTGCCACTTGGTGTCTATCTGCAGTTAACTGCCTCACCGTCTTGCAGTTCAAACTCCTGGGTGAGTGGTGCAATTAACTGCGTGAGGGGCCTGCCGGAACAATGAACAAGGCGCCCTTCCGGGGAAGGTGCTGGTGCTTTTGGTGGTGAGGGAGAAATCAAACACGGGGGTGATTGGTTTGTTCACAACTAGCGAACATTAGCAAACTGTCTGATTGACCAGCTGACGTACTCAATAAGTAACCACATCACATCAGTAGGAGCAGCAGCAGCAGCAGCGAAAGCAGCGAAAGTAGCAAAAGCTAAGCACAAGAAAGGACCTCAACAGGAACCAATAGCTGAACAACAGAAAGCTTATATAGCAGGTAAGCAAACAAACCAATTTAAGTTAACAAAACTGATTATTATATATAGAAATATCTTGACAAGAACAACCTTGTATTTGTATGATTCCGCTCCAAAAAACAATTCAGGGGTACTTTCTGTTGTGCACTCCCACCTGACAGTTTGGAATGCAACATTAGGACTTGTCAGTATGAGCCAACCACGTGGTACATTACAAACCCTTGATGTAACTTACCAGCAAACCAACTAACGACCTAAGTAAGACCGAAGTCCAGTAGCATGGTGACTTACATAGCAAGTGACGAACATACTACGGAGATAACTCAACAAGCAAGTGCGTCAACTACCCAAGAAACTGACTGACTGACTGACTGACTGAGTGACTGACTGACTGACTGGTTAGTTTCTTGCCACTGGGTTTCTTGTGCCAGCGGTGATGCTAACACGAGCTCATGTCATTTTCACACCCCTCACTATAAACAACTTGATGCCCTCGCGGATATTATTCAGCAAAGAGTTCAAATACAGTTCCGTGAACATGACATGCTCTTCGAGCTGCAGCCTAGTCTCATTTGACCAAAAAATGTTGGACGCCTCTTGGAAAACACGAGCATCGAAAGGATCCTCAAATCAACAATTGAAAGCACATCTGTCACAGCATGTTCATACTTTGACCTTCTTCGAGATCTTTGGAAGGTTGGAGGCCATCGCTATTAGGTTGGAGACCATCGCTAGCAGTTTTATTAAACTATATAATATATTGTCATATTGCTTCTTTGTTATATATATATGTATATATATATTATTCCGCTATTAAACGCCAAAACATCGACACCAATCAGTACGGTGGAAACTGTCGCGGATGGATGAAACGTGGTCTTCGACTGCAAAACGACACTGCAGTAGTTCAACTGCATGCGTCCTCGTATCCGTTGAGGTATTTGGTGAAATCCTGATCAAACTGGATATGGTCATGATGCAGGAAAAGCAAAATGCTCCTTTTCAGCACTCGGGATTACTACACTACTACAGCATGGACCAAGGGGAAATATCGGAAATCAATCTCTCACTCGTAGGCAATGCAACATTTCCGCACAACAAATGGCCAAAGTAAGCCGGCCTTGGAATAGATGCTCTTGCGCATGTTGACAAACCTTTCGAGAGCGGACATGTACTCGATGTACTTATGTACTTCTTTGGTCTTCGCTTGCAAAAGCGGAGCTATGACCGTCAAACATCTCAAGGCAATGCAGTTGAATGACATCGATTTGATGGATAAAGATCAAACAATCGTCTGGGTCCCATTCTGGGAGCATATCGGGCACAATTTGACATCTTGCAGCTGAAGCCACTCCACTGGAAGACATTCTCCGCCGAACATGGCCTCAAAGGCAGTTGCTTCCGCTGTGCGCTAGACACAAGCAAATGATCTGGAGGTTCCTGTTTACCCTTAGTTCGGCAACCACTCAACCGCCAAAAGACTGTCCACTCTTCCTGCTTCTTAGCCAAGCAAATGTTGCAAGTTGGCAGGCCAAAGAGATCGACCAATAAACTCAAAGTAGCATGAAAAAGGCACACAGAGAGGTCGAAATGGTCGGTGAGGCCCACAAACGCGAAGCCCTGCAGCCTGAAAGAGATACAAGTCGATAGCGAAAGAAACTGGGACGTTGCAATCACGACAAAGCAACCAGGCAGGCTGAAACAATCACAAAAAATGTAAATCATGAGACACTGCACTGCCAAACATCGCGGAACCGAAAAGGCTGTTTGGCTGTTTTCCCAGCTGTGCCTTTGAATAGCCTTTTCCACGTCTTTTTCAGTAGCACTTTGCATGCAGTTCCTGCATGCCGCACTATGGCCTTAGGAGCCGGAAGCTATCGATCCTCCTGGATCCTGCTGGACTTAGTAAGCCTTGGATCGTCCCGCCACTCAAGGAATGCTAAGGACCCAACATTCACGATCGGTTTTATAATAGTCAGCAAACCTCATGCATCGAACTGGATCGAACATGCAAATCCCCGTTCAACCCCTTGACGTTGTTGAGTGCTGGACCGAAATTCACAACGTACTGGATCATTGCCAAAGAAACCATAATCTCCACCAAGCATCTTCGTCCTCAAGTTCTCAATTTAGACATCTCAGAAACTCTGTCAAACAGTGAGCCAAGCCATGAAACACTTATGTGTTGCTGCAAAGAAGCTAGTCAGAAAAGGAGGGTGTGTCAACAAGTTTTGCGTCAAAGAGTTCAACATCGTTATTTGATTTTCATTATACCGGCAGAATGTATATATATATATATATACGTGTACCTGAGAAGGGAGGGGACGAAAGCCAACCTCTGGGTTAGGGGGGTGGTCTTAGGGCAAGCCTGGCGTTTGCTCGCTGTTGGCTATTGAGGTCCAAAGACTTGGCGTGCAAGATGAAGTGATTGGGTAATATCGGGGAAAGAGTGCTTTCATGGGGTGAAGTTGATATCGCAGCCACCCCAATAGGGGGCCAAAACAGAAAGTAGAATACATAGGTTTTGGGGGGGTGCCTGTTTTCGTCCTGGTTCAGGGGCGTTTTGGAGATGAAAAAGGGGATCCTTGAAGTGAGGGGCGCTTGCCTGCTGTGTGTTGCGAATCAGTGAGCAAAGACGTAGCTGGAAGTGGTGAAGTTGATATTGCAGCACGTAGGTTGGCGGGGGTGCCCTTTTTCGTCTTCGTTCAGGTGCGATTTGAAGGTGAAAAAGGGCACCCTTGAGGTATATTATGTGCGTTTGCTTGCTGCGTGTCGCTAAACAATGAGCAAAGCTGGTTGTGGGGGGCCTATGGGCGAGGGTACCGGCAGGCCTCGTAAGGATACATATATGTATATAGGTAGAGTGGACAAAGAGTAGCCGGCAGTGGTGAAGTTGATATTGCTGTCACTTGAGAAAGCATGGAAATAGAAAGTGGAATGCATAGGTTTGGGAGGGGGTGCCCTTTTTTGTCCTGATGTCGGGGCGTTGTGAAGGTGAAAAAGGGCACCCCTGTAGTCCGGGGAAGGTTTGGTTTGGTGTGTTGGTCTTTTGCCCATCTT